AAACCGTCGTCTTTACAGATAAACAACGACGGTGAAAAGCCGTCGTAGTTTGACACCCAAATAGACGGCGGTCAATTTAACGACGGATTTCAAAGCATTACAACGACGGTGGATCCCCGTCGTCTATTTCGTTTTTTGTAGTAGTGCGCCCAATCAATATTCCTATGACCATGAACATATTCAGGATTTAGGGATGATGAGAAGTCTCCATGTATGCAATCTCATTAAATAACTCTCATATCCACTTGTGTATTTCTTGGACTATGATTGTTCTATATATTGAAAGATAATATATGATGATTTTATATATAAAACAACATTTCTTGCCATTGATAACATAATATGTCTTTTATCAAAGATGTCCTTAACTCTAACTATTACATAATTAGTTGGCTTTAAGAGCATATTTCTAACAGTCTAGAGTTCCACTACCCTTGCACCAGATATCACCTATGCCAATTTTGATTTTGTGACTGTGTACTCTCTCCACTATTGCTACTTCGGAAGGGCCTGACATCCTTAGCAAAAAAAATTTATTATGTTGGCAAATTTGGGAAACTAGAAACAATCTCATTTTCAGATATTCACCCCCTCATCCTGGTCGGGTTCTTAATGTGACTGCTCAACTGGGATGGATTATTGGAATCACAATTTCAAGAAATTGGTTCACACCAAGCCCCTCAACATATTAAGTGGCACCCGCCCCCTCTTGGTTGGTTAAAGTTAAACTTTGATGGTTCTGTTCGGAACAATTATGCAGCTGTGGGCTTTGTTATTCGATATTCTGAGAGTCATGTCTTACTTGATGGAGCCAAGAACATTGGTGATGTTTCTATTATAGTAGCTGAGTGTATTGAATATGGGCTGGCATAAAGTTTTAGCGGAGGGGGACTACAAGCTTATTATCGACTGTATCACTTAGAAGATTGAGCCCCCCCTGGAGTATTAAACTTCTAGTTAAAGACATCCTCCTACTATGCTCCTTTTGAAATTCTCCTTCTTTCACTCATGTCTACCGAGAAGCTAACTCCACTGCTGATGTGATTGCCAACTTAGGCCATGGGCTTCATCCTTCTACCTTACGGGAGCATGAGCTGTCGTTGAGCTATTGTATCCCCTTTCATTTTGACCTTATTGGGCCTGCATGCCCTTGTAGTTTTTGTTTGTAATTTTCATTTTCCTCATTAAAAAAAATTGATATCTTAGTTTTAAGAACATTTTAGGTAGACACGATTAACAATGTAATGATACTAAAATAAAATTTACTATGAAAAAAGGTAAGTTATGATTTCTTTTGGCCCTCAACGATAAACTTTGACTTAAAGAAGCACTCCCCGCTTGGGCCAAAGACAAGTTGCAAATCAGCCTCAGAAAACTCGGTGCTAACCTAACGACAAAACCACATAGCAATATTTCTGAAAGATGCGGGTACTTAGATGTTAAAATTGAAAATTCAAGTATAACATTTGTTATGGTGAAAATGTTCAAGATGCTAAACTGAAATTAACCTTAAAAAATGTGTTGACTCTAACCAATTATATAACTTCAAAGAATGTAAATCTACAACTATAAGTCTACTAAGGCCCC